ATGCAAAAAAGAACGACGATCGACGTAGTAAGTTATAGTAGCAGCAAACGGAAAAGAAGAAAAAAAATATGTAGAAGAGATATCAATCCGTTTGGCTGTTCCGATGATGTTGGTATCAAGCAAGGCAAAGAAAGAAAAAGAAGAAAAAAAGAAGTTATTTCTGTCTATAAGTTATCCAATCGTGTCTTGTTTCTCTACATGTACTATATATTTTTTCTCCGTATGCAGTAATGGTACTAGCGTTGGTGGTAATCATATTCAACGACGCGGCAGAAATAATCAAAGAAGGAAAAGAGAAAGAAGAAGAAGAAAAAAAGAAGATATGAATTAGATTATTGTAGATACAATTAGAAAATTTTCTTTTATTTCTATTGATTTAAGTTTAAAACGTTATTTTCTTTTCTTTTTTTTCCTTAAATAAATATATTCATAGTATTTGATTTATTGTACGATTAAAAAAATTATAGCCATTGTCATTATTGTATTGGACAGAAAATCAAACTAAAAAAACCTTGGTTATATATCGTCGGTTGCTCTTTTGCGTTCGATAACCTTGGATAACGTTATATCCATGATGATATTGTCTAACTTAAAGTAGGATATATACATTAGTACACAATAGCAAAATTATCTAGCTTGAGTTGTTGTTATGAAGAAAGAAAAAGAAAAAGAGAATTGTATGTACACGTTTATATTCGACGAACATATTGAGATACAAGAATAGATTCGATGATAAGTTATCCTAAAACGAGTATATCTATTTTAAAAAACAAATGTTATCAACAAAAACAATTTTATTTTATTTTTGGGCAGTCATATTAATTATTTTTAGTTATTTCTTAATGATTGGAATATGTTGAAGAAGAATGTTAAGTGATTGTTTATCATTTACATCAGGAATAAGCTGATTTTATTGATAGGATATGAATAGAAAAATGATGAAGTTCATCATTTGCAATAGATTAATGAACTGATGGAATATGATGTTTTGCTGTTGTCGATCATTAACGTTTGGTATAGCTGTTTATTTTGATAAGTTCTATTGAATTGGATCTAATAAACAATAACCACGGATTAAAATAGCATCTTCAATTCCTATTTTTACTCATTTGATATAAAATTTTTATTCCATATTGTTCATTAACCCCTTAGAAATGGATGTGACTGTAGCAAAAGAAACTGAATAATTTATTTATTCGAAAATATATTAATCAGCCTAACGTTATATTCACTACATTCGTATCTGGAAACAGTTATCTTTCTTGCTGTGGTTGTTGTATTTTGCACTGACCACGCATTGTTTTTGAGGAATTTTTCTTGTTGATAGTGATGTAATAGAAATATCATATATAGCTATAGAACGAAAGAAAGTGAATGACGACACAATAAAAATAGTTACACTACGATGTGTTGAAAGTGTATAAATATAGTTTGCACTATCAATTCTACCATTAAAGTGTTTTTATAAATTTAGTTCTGTCACATACTGGTTAAGTCAGAATCGAAGCACACACATGTGCTTCCCGTCTCAAAGGCGTTAAGCTATAAATCTAATTCGTGATATGGATCTTTAAATTTCCAGTTTAATGTATCTTTTTTCCAAGCATATATATTTCAAAGGTAGTAATTATCAGCATGAATATTAAGCTTTTTGAATTTTATTAATACTAGTCAATATTACATTGTACATTATTAATAAATATTAAAACAAACTCCTTATGTGATGGAGTATTTTGTAAAATTGATTAACAGTACAATGGTAAATAAGTTGAATTAATAAAAACAATTTGATGATATTTTCAATTATTGATGTCATTAATGCAACGAAATAATTGTCTTTGGTATATATACAAAGGCGTGGCAAGGTGCCGAAAGCAGAGGGGCGTAGAGTGGGCATAGGTCATATTTTTAATGTAAACTCCAAAGCCATGGGAGACGTAACACGAGTAAATTTCAAAAAGAGGAGCGGGGGCGACACGCCCTTATATATATGCACCAGAAGTCTCATCGTTGCTTTTATTAAACACTATACTTTCTAAAGGTAAGGTTAATTTTGATACAATCTAATTTTTTTGTAATAGATAAAAACGGATAAAGATGTAAGACTTGTTTTCTTTCTTACACTTAGTATATTATAAAATGCATTAATTTAATATTTAATTAAGTTAATAACTTTTGTAGATCAATGTCTTATTTTGTATTTTTAGTATAATTTATTTCAAATGAAAACCTATTTAAAGAACATAAGAAATATACTAGAGAGAATATCACCTTTTTTTCTCAAATTACTTTTGAAATGTTCAAAAGGTTTTTTTCAAATTGCTTCCGAAGTAAAAGGAACTTGTCAACAATATTTTAATAGCAAGGTCATATATATAGATGACGAACAAAACGAACATGCTTGTCAGTGTAAATGTCACCTATACACAGATATATATTTACAGACAAAATTGATCAATTGAAGGATAACAACATAAGCACACATTGGAAGAACACAAAAAGAAAACAGAAAAGACAAGGAAGAGAGAGAAAAAAAGTAGTTATTTTTTTTTCGTTTTTGTTAATAACTTAAGCATAAAGCATATTTTCAATATAATTTAAAGAACACAAAACTAATAAGAAAAAATTCAAATAAAAACAATTTGTTGCACCATGTTGTTTCACACTTCTTCATCGATGATATTAGCTACACTACTACGTTTCTGTTCAACAGTTTCTTCATTTCGTTTATCTTTAACTGTTTCGAGTCGTGATCGAAATGCATTAATAACTTGAAACTATAGAAAGAAAAATGTTTTAGAAAATAAATAATTTGAAAGAAAAATATAAACCTCAGTATTAAGTCGATCGACACTTTTTCGAAGCATATATCTTGCAAATATTGGTGGTGGTTTCATAACAACTGTTGCATTTGTTAAATGACCAATTGTTGCATATTTTCCAGGTGCTGGTGGATTATGCTCAGTATCACTTTCTTCATCCGAATCACTTTTTTTCGATGGTTTCTTTTGTTTCTTTTGATCAGCAGACTTTGGTCGTTCGCCTTTGTCTTCACCTTTGTCTTCATCTTTTTCTTTAAGTTGTTTTTTATATAGACAAGGACAACAAACACGATACACAGCTGAAAAACATTTACTAAATGGTTCAATTGGAATAAATAGAAGAACCTAAATTATTTAAACGTAATATATAATTTTATAAACAATCAAATATAATACCTGCTGCCATGCAAGTGATCCGAGACCAAAAAGTAAACTCCATGCCCAATGTATAATACTTAATCGTGCACAACTAAAAACTTTATCACCAAAAGTAACAATTAAAATCTAAAAAAAGATGAATAAATAAATAAATTCCTATTTTCAATTCATTTTTCTTACTTGTGCAACAAAACAAAATGTCCAAATACAATAAAAAAATGGATTGCTGAATATTCCTTTAAATACATTTCTTTCACCATGTAATTTTCTTGAATTAATTTCATTAAATAAAGTCATTAGCACAAATGCATTAAATACCAAAGTAAATTGTTGACTTAATTCTCTTCCAGATTGTGGGCTTGATTGAATTTTATTAACAGTAGATTCAACATCTAAAAAGTATTGTCCGGCATAAAGTATAACAAACATAATAATAAGTTGATAAATCGATTGTCCAAGAATATTACGCATCATCATTGGTGATATAATTGATTTCGTACGACCATAAGGTTTTCGATTTAATAAATCTTCTGTTGGTGGTTCAGTTGCAAGTGCAAGTGATGCTAATGTATCCATAACAAGATTAACCCAAAGCATTTGAACAGCTCGTAATGGAACACTCTAGAAAAAGAAATAATCAGTGTTTTATATAGATTTCGTTTTTCGGATGGGCAGCGTTCATCCAGCGCTCGCCCCGGAACACCTCAAAATATACAGCTACTATATTTTTCGGGTGGGCGGCGCTCACTCGTTGGATAAAACACGGAATAGTCATAATATAAAAAGAAAACATACGCTTATAGCTGCAGCCGAAACAACTGATAAAACACCAGCAGATAAATTAGCAGTAAGTTGAAATTGAAGAAATTTTGCAATACAATCATAAACATTTCTTCCCCACATCATTGCTTTAACAATCGATGAGAAATTATCATCAGTTAAAATAATATCTGATGCTTGTTTAGCAACATCTGTTCCTTGAATACCCTTTAAAACAAAAACATATATTGTTGACTACAAAAAAGAAGTCTTTTATTTACCATAGCAAATCCAACATCAGCACGTTTAAGTGCAGGTCCATCATTTGTACCATCACCAGTAACAGCAACAACTTCTCGATGTGCTGTTACTTTACTTTCAACAATACCATTTACTAAATTATATTTATCTGTTGGTGATGAACGTGCTAAAACACGTAATTTTGGCCAAATTTCATCAAGTTTCTTTTGTGAAATCTAAATAAAATAAAAACTAAAAAAATATTCAAACAGTTATTTTATTTTTTCTAACCTTTCCATTTGAATCACGAATACGTTTATTAAATTCTTTTCCTTCAAGTACAAGAAAATCATCATCCGGTTTGATTATACCACATTTAGTTGCAATCGAACGAGCTGTTGTTATATTATCACCTGTTACCATTCGAACAACAACACCAGCTTTTTGACATTTTTCAATAGCTTCTGGTACCTAAACGAAAATATTTCTTAAAACAAAAAAAAGAAAATTATTATTATACTTCATCACGAACAGGATCTTCAATTCCAACAATACCAATACAAATTAAATCTTTGATTATTTTATCTTCATCATCCCAATTTTGTTTATCTTCACCAAGATCTTTATAACAAATACAAATTGTTCGTAAACCATCATTAGCCATTTTTTCTATAACATGTTTTGTTATTTTCTTTTTCTCATGATCATTTAATTCTTTGGGTTTATCACCCTTATCAATAATTGATTTACATCTTCAAATAAAAACAAATTATGTATACATATTCAAAAACAAAAACGAAATCTACTTTGCTAAAACCATTTCTGATGCGCCTTTTGTATAAAGTCGATAACCTCCCTCACGTTCAATAACTGTTGACATCATTTTTCGTGCAGAATTAAATGTATATACTTTTGCTAATTTTTCTTCTGGAATTTCCTTACGAATTTCATCATAGGAACCATCCCATTTTTGTATTAAATCAAGTAATGCACATTCGGTTTTATTACCAACTTGTTTTGGTAAACCTTCATCATCTTTTGCTTTCTAAATAAATTTTATAAAGAAAAGGTTTATTTTTAAATAATTATTAATACCTCGATTTTTGATGTATAATTTGAATTAACAGTAATTCCTTCGAAGAGAGTTGCTAATATCTCTTTATCAATTTCATCTTTTTTTGGTAATTTATCATAATGTTTTCCTAAACAAAAAAAAGAACATATATTAATGAATACAATATCGTTCGATGGAACCGATATGAAATAACCTAAGATCAAATACTAACTTACCGTTAAAATAACATTGTACAACTGTCATTCGATTTGTTGTTAATGTTCCTGTTTTATCGGAACATATTGTTGATGCATTACCCATTGTTTCACAAGCATCTAAATGTCGAACAAGATTGTTATCTGTCATCATTTTCTATTGAAACAAATAATGATAATTAAATTTGATAATAAAAAATATTTCTACTAACTCGAACTGCATAGGCAAGAGCGAGTGTAACAGCCAAAGGAAGACCTATATTTTTGAAAAAAGCAAATAAATAATTATTCTGAAATTATTAAATATATGGATCAAACCTTCTGGTACTGAGACAACAACAACAGTGATAGCTTGAATAAGAAAAGAAATAAAATAAGAAACATCAGCTCCTGATCCTTTGTTGCCTTTCACAACATAATTTGAAATACAGAAACGAATAATTAAACAAATTAATGTTAGAACAGCAGCAGCCATACCAATATAACCGATATAAAGAGCTAATTTTGTTAATTTTTCTTGAAGAACAGCTAAAATATTTTGAATTTTATTTGAATATATACTTTTGTTATTTGTTTGTACTTACATTTATGTTTTTCATCGTTTGAACCGCCTTCATCATCGTCATCAGCATCTTCAGCTAATGCAGCTAATCCAGGTGGTTTCTGTTCTGAATCTTCCTTATCATCTTTTCCTTTTCCAGATTTCTTTTTATCATCCTTAGCAATTTTTGTTTGAATAGATGAAGTTGTTGATGGTCGTTCATCATCATCATCACTTTCTTCTTGTTTCTTCTTATTCGATTTCTTGTCTTGTTCTTCATCACCACTACTTTCATTTTTATTTGATTTCTTGTCTAATTTACTATCAGTACTTTTACTTTTGGTTAACTTTTTCTTTTTTTCTTCTTCTTCATCGCTGCTGCTTTCACTTGAACTGGATTTTTTCTCTTGTTTATCTTTAGAAATATCATTCGAACTAGATTTTTTCTTGTCTTGTTTAACAATAGTTTCAGTTTTTGTTGATTTTTTCTTTAATTTCTTGTCATTATCTGAGTTCTTTACTTCTTCTTCTTCTTCATCACTACTGCTTTCACCTGAACTGGATTTCTTCTTATCTTGTTTGACAACAGTTTCAGTTTTTGTTGTTTTCTTCTTTTGTTTTGTATCATTATTTTCATTTTTACTTGATTTCTTTTCTTCATCTTCATCACTACTGCTTTCACTTGAGCTGGATTTTTCCTCCGGTTTATCTTTAATACTTTCATTTGAACTAGATTTTTTCTTGTCTTGTTTAACAGTAGTTTCAGTTTTTGTTGATTTCTTCTTTTGTTCTTCACCACTACTACTTTCAGTTGTACTCGATGTCTTCTGTTGTTCATCATTTGCATTTTCAGTTTTTTTCGATTTCGTTTTGTTAATTTCACCTGAACTAGATTGTTTCTTTTCTTGTGTATCACGTTTCTGATCTTTTATTGGTTTCTTCTTTTGTTCATCAGTAATACTTTCATTTGAATTCGATTTCTTCGTTTTGTCTTTGTTAATTTCACTTGTACTGGATTTCTTCTTTTCTTGTTCATTATTACTTTGAGTTTTTGTTGGTTTCTTCTTTTGTTCTTCATCACGTTTTTCATTTGAACTAGATTTCTTTGGTTTTTCAACAGTTGCATCAGTAGATTTTTTTGATTTATCTTTATTAATTTCGTCTGAACTGGATTTTTTCTTTTCTTGTTCATCATCATTACTTTCACTTGAACTGGATTTCTTCTTTTCTTCACTATCACTACTTTCACTTGAACTAGATTTTTTTGTTTCTTCCTCTTTCTTAACTTTTGTTTTTGTTAATTTCTTCTTTTGATCTTCATCATTATCACTGCTTTCACTTGAACTAGATACTTTCTTCGATTTCTTTTCTTGTTCATCATCACTACTTTCACTTGTATTAGGTTCTTTTGTTTGTTTAGTATTCTTTTCCTTTTTAATTGGTTTCATTTCTTGTTCATCAGTACTTAATTGTTTAAATTCTGGTAATTTACGAACACGTGGATGTTTAGGTGTTGATGGTTTTGTTTCATCTATTGTTTCTACAGTTGTTGTTTGACGTTTACTTTCTTTTTCATCGGATGTGGATTTATCAGGTGAAACTTTTGTTGATGATAATGGTTTAGGTTTTTTAGTTTTTGATTTTTCATCTTTTTCATCTTTCTTTTTGTCTTTGCCTTTGTCTTTGCCTTTGTCTTTGTCTTTGTCTTTTCCTTTCCCTTTCTTCTTCTTTTTTGAATCACCTCCAGTTGCACCAAGTAAACTCATGATATTTCCAACTTGAGAATTAAGACCAACACCAACAACAACCATTCGACCACTACCTTCCATAACATTTGTACCTGATAATAATCCTACATCATCTTTTGAACCTTTTTTTACTAAATCTGTTTCTCCTATTCAAAAAAGAAAAGAAATTTTATTTTTAAACAAAAAAAATTCTAATAAAACTACAAACCTGTTATAGAAGATTCATCAATTTTAAGATCACTTGCTTGAACAACCAAGCCATCAGCTGGTAGAAGATCACCTAAACATAAATTATATTTTTTCTTACAAAAAAATCTAAATTAAATATTGATGAATTTTACCGTATTTAATAAAACAAAGATCACCAACAACAAGTTCCGCTACAGGAATTTCTTGTATATGACCATCTCGTATAACAGATGTTTGTTGATCTTTCTCAATTTTATTTTGTAAACCACGAAATTGACGTTCTTTTCGCCAATCATTAAATGCTGTTACAAATACAACAACAAGAACAGCAACAAGAATAGCTACACCTTCAATCCATTCAAGATTAGCTAAAAAAAGTCATATTTTTTTATAAAACAAATATTTATGATTGTACGTAAATGTATCATTTTACTTAAGTATAATCATTAGATCTTGATATATAGATTAGTTAATATCAAAAGTCTGGCCTCATTATAATCTCTGACGTAAATAGTAGTTTTTTTTCTTGTCCTTTGGTAGTTAATGACACAGATTTTATTGATTTTATTTTGTTACTATTTTAAGCAAACATTTATTTAAATGAATAACGTTCGATGACGTCTATAGATGACTTTATTTTTGTGAGTATTCTTTAAAAAAATTTCTCCAGATGTTTTACGTCAAGCATTTCAAAAAGCAAAAAGAGTTTCAAAAAAATTAACAAGTGTCATGCATATACTTGTAAATAAAATATGCTTGACGAGTGATGCTAATGAAAGGAAGAAAGAGAGCAAAATGGTGAAATCATCGATTTGTTTTAAATAACATTTTCTGTTCTCAGTACAAATTTCTATTTTGGTAACTAAGGATAACATAGTAGTGTCATTTTCTCGTTCGTGTACTCGATGGTATCTATATGAAAAAGTAAAAATTAATCTAATATACTTACGTTCATCATCTTCCGTTCCATTTGAGGGTGCTTTATAAAATGAAAGTCCAATTGATACAATAGCACATACTAATAAAATAATTAATAACATATCATGAAGTGCCTCGTAACATAATCTTATGAATGTTTTCATTGGTTTCGGTGGAATTTCATTTCGCCCATAAGCTCCGACACGTTGTTTAAAATCTTCTTCATTGTTTGAGTCAAGTCCTTTTTTTCCGTCGACTTTTAATTTTTCTAAGATGCCTTTAACACCATTATATTCTGATGATTTAAGTTTTTCCTTAAGATCTTTTCCACGTACTTCCATAAGTTCTTTCAATTGATCAAGTGTTATATCAAACATCGAAGAATCACCACCACCACCAGCAGCTTCATCAGCTGCTGATTTCTTCTTCTTAAAGAATGGCATCTAAATTTTTTAAGAAATCCAAATGATAAGATTATACATGTTACAGAGTTGTATTTATTGTTTGCAAAAAAAAGAAAAAGAAATTTTTCTCATGAGAAAAAAAAGAAACAGAACGTAAAATAAAATAAAATTTTAATCAATACTGTTGAACTGATTTTTTCCTCTCTCTCTCTCTTTTCTTCTATTTTATTTAAAACAAGACCTTCAAAAGACAGCAATAGAAATAAAAAAAGAAACAAAGATTATATTCGTATTATTTGCTAAGATTACATCTTTACTGTTCTCGTCGCCCTTTCGAATCGAACTCATCGAATGTATATCACGTGTCTAATTTTCTCTTGAATCAACATTGTGAGCCTTCTTTTTTTATTTTAAAGAGTAAACTTACGACTTGTTTTGTTTAACTAAATATGAATGCGAAGGAAATAAAAATTCATTTGATTTATATTTGCTCATCATATATGTTAGTGTTACTACTAAGCGACAAAAAAAACATGTTAGAATATTGTTTTTAACTAATTACATCGACAAAATGAAAACTGACTACTTTCTTTTGTATACTGTAAAATAGTATCGTAAAAGTAGGATTTTTTCTTTCTCTGTTCTTTATTCAGATGGATGACTGTGAGAGATGGCGAGTTTAATACATAACAATAGAGAGAGAGAGAGAAAGACAAAAGAGCAAGAGGAATGTGATACATATGTTGGATATTTACAGAACAGAAGCTTGATATATATATATTTATTACTTGATAGATTGGTGACTTTTTTACTGGATAGTTACTAGTTGTGCTATTGAATATGTAATCATTCTTGTCAATATTTATTCCTATGGGTTTTACATGAAAGTCTTCTCATGATCTATTGTATTTTGGTAATAATTTAATTATATGAAAGATAACACTGCTCAACCTCACTACCCCTATTTTCTTTTCTTCTTCTTCTTTGTTATCACTGATGGTATTCTTTTATTATATTTACATAGAGATACAAGTGTTCCAGTATGATGATCATGCTGTCTATCATTAATTTACTGCCCTTTTTTGCATATCAATCTGTCAATCTTCATTAAATTTGTTTCGTTGTTATACCTCATAGCAGTTTTCAGACAGTTTATTAATTGACAGTTGATAATTGACTAAAGAATTTTATTTATAACTTTACCTTTTTCTTTGGTTGTTTAACTTCAGTTTTTGGTGTTGAATCTAACAAAGGCTTTTCCACTTGTTTTTCGTCATTGTCGTCTTCAGCTGAATCATGATGGGCCGATGAAGAATGTTTTTTCTTCGAGGTTTTTTCTGTAGTCGCTTCCGCCCTTTAAAAAGAAGAAGTAAAATCAAATTATTTTTCGTTTTCAAATAAATTTTTTTGCTTAAAAATAAGATTTAACTTATTGAACAGGAGTTATACTAGACATCTTCACTTTATGTGTATACAATGACCGTTTGACGATTATCCCCTATGTCTATAACATATGTGTAACAAAACGTGAACAGTTGAGAGAGTATAAATGACACAAGATATTATCGCGTCAAAAAAGCCCTAGATAAACATCTTTACGATTGACACTATTGAATTATTCACAAATTGCTAGGTGAAAAATAAATATCCGAAAGCAGAATGAGAGTATGAGTGTATAGTTTGAAGTATTTTAATACAGAGAGAAGTATGCAGCTGTAAAAAAAAGATAGGGTTTTATTACATAATTATCTGTATAAGAAATCTTTTACTTGCATAAACTTAAATGATTATAAATAGATATCAACATTCAAGGCAAGTTTTATAAATAAAAATTTATTAAGTAATATAAAATATGTAAGTTGACTAGTACAAAAGATTTTATGTATAAATGTAATTTAAAACTCATTTGAAAAGCTCAAAGAGAAAGATGAACATATAACGTAATATATTAAAAGAAAGATATCAGATCTTGTATTTAAAAAAAGAAGTCGATATATGTGCTGAACAATTGGATATTAATGTCTATGATTATTGAATTTATAATTAAATATGAAAATACTAGCTCTACATGAGTCAGTTTTATCCATAATTATATAAATGAAATGAAAGGATGATTTTGTGAAGCTTTATCTATACTCTATTCATTCTTTGATGTTAATACTAATATTTAAGTTATGATACTATCAATTTTATTAATAGTAAGCATTGTCTTTCATCTCATCCATATGGTCGTAATTAATCATTTTGATACTGCAATAGTTACTCCTATGTGTCACTTTAATCAGATATCTTTCACTAGTAGTCATACATATACAATACTAATGTTCTGTTCGTGTTTAAACTCCATAACTCTCATCCTTGATGAGAGTTATTAAATGGAGTGTTCACTCAAAATTCATAATATATTCAGTTTTAATGATTTTATCAAAGTCAAATCTACTGCTAATTGGCAATTCATTTCAATAGAATATTTCCAAGCCATTAGTGAATTACAGTAAAGCTCGAAATGTCATTGTGGTTTAAGAGTTAACTTCGCATTCAATATATACACAATAAAATTGCTAGATGGAAACTGATGTAAGTTAACAAATTAGATTCGAAATATATTTAATAGAGTGATTTTATAAAAAAATGAATTGACAGGTATCATTCTATTTTAGACATATTTTGCAAACAATAATAAATCATTAGTAAGATAATCTCCTTCAATCTACTTATACTAATAGACATTGAAGAATTAAAATGACTGATTACACTCATATATAGAAAATCTTTTTTAAAAAAAATTTGAAATTTTTGACCTATAGTTTTGACATTTTATGATATTAAATATATACTCTTTGTCTAGGGATGCGCACTCTCCCACCTCACTTGCAAAAAATTATATATAAATCTCTTGAGTTCTGGAAAAAATTTTTTCTGCATGCCTCCTTCACTTTTTTCTTTACGGCACATCCCTGACTTTGTCTTTCTCAACATGATACTTATACAAAGTAGCCCGTACTAGGAAATTTGTCAAGTGGAAAAAGTTAATTTAATTCCATTCTATACTATTGATATTTAAATTAGTTTGTACAAAAGGAAATGAATGTTAAATGTTTATATTATAATTTAAAAGCTTTAATTAAGTCGCCTATTATACGATATTCAAGGTAGAAATAATTGTGAACTAAAATTATTCAACCATTCTCCTATATTTATTTATTATTTTTCTATCTTCTCATACAAACTGCACTACTAGCTTCTATATAAGATGAAAGTGTCTGACTAATCTTGATGCTCACTGACTGTACTCCATAATCGTTTTTTATCAATAGGACTTGTCTTAATTATTATTATTTTATTTACTTAAATAGACATCTCATCAGAAAGTAATATTCTGTATTCTTTATTTATGTTCAGTGTCATCAGCGAAATTAGTTTATAAATAAGAAATGTGCACTTCAAGATTAGATCGATATTTTGTTTTTTTGATGACGTACGAATAATTCTATCACATAATTTATTATCATGTTAAAAGTTTTTTCTTCAAATATTATCTAATTAATTCAATATTTACTTAGATATATTACTCATTCTCTTTTTACCAGAGTAAAAATTGAGAAATATATATATTTTATCTAATCAAAATAACATCGTTCTAAAATTTAGTATTGCTTAGTATTCGTCTAATAATTCCTGAGACTCAAAATATACTACAGGTACGTCTTAGGCCTTGTTTCGTCCATGATAATTAAAGATATGTCATACAGTATAAACAAAGTATGAGCAACATAGTTACATTGACGTATACAAAAAAATATGTTTTGTTTTTTCATCTAACATTAATTATGAAGACATGTTTATTATAGTAAAATTTATCTTCTTTTTAAGATTATTATCTCTTGCTTAACACATTTTTTACGTTTGATTAATAGCATTTGTAAAATTATTTTAGATATCTGATTGATGTATTACAATATTTCCTTTTTTTCTCTACTACGTATTTTTCGAAAAAAAAACCAAGACCTTGAGTATATAAAAAAAAGTGTACACTTACATATTGCCGAGTATATTGTGAATAATATCGTTTCTGTATCGATGCACGTTTTAATACAAATGGTTTTGACTTGCACGCTTTTGCGTGCAAGCAATGAAAATAAATAAAGATTCTAAAAGAAAAAGAGAGCCGATTAGTTATTAAAAGGATTTATATGTGGTAGTATATAAATATATGTTCGTCCAGGTGAATTAAAACGTCATACATATGTATACATTATATTCAACAATATGAATAAAGATTCATAATGCTTATTTTGATTGACATATAATTATCTGTACAGTTAAATCTAGTAGATTTCTTTTTGTATAAAAAACATATATATTCTTTTCCTTACTTTTCTTCTTACCTTTTCTTTTTCTACCCGTTTACTAAAGTGTGAATAGAATATTCATCGAATTTTGCGGTTATAATGTTAGACGTGAGCCTATTTCTTCTTTCTCTTGCCTGCCTTAGAACGAGAAAAGAAGAAAAAAAAATATATATATATATGTTACGTTTACTTTCTTATTCTAAAAACAAATATGTACTGTATACACTTATATACAATATGAAGTGATGATTTTTATTAAGGACGAATTATTAAAAATTATTTTCTCCTATGGTTAACATTCATAATAGAGAAATATAAAACTTTAAACCTTTTTTCTTATCTATTATAAATAGAAGATCGACATCAATTACCTTTACAAAGACAACAATAACTATTCTATTCACTTCTAATTTATTAGTATAATATTAAACGATCAATCATTTGTCCGCTATAAATGTTCCTTAGAAAAATTCAAATATTAACGTATGTTTTATCGCTCTCAATAAGTAAATGTCAATGGACCTAGTTGTTACCTAAGGTGTTATAAATAAATGATGATTTGACTCTGTATTTAGATGAAAAAGAAGAAAAAAAAGCGTTTTTGTTTTGTCCTATTAAACATTGCCATAAAAAAAAGATAGTTTCGATTATAAATTACTATATGTATTACACAACTGAATGGATCTCAAGTCGTGCAGAGTAGCTAGACACACATATTAATGAACACAGAACTAAATTTTATGATTTTTTACTCAATAATCTCGACTAAATATGCAACTATGTATTCATTTTTCCTTGAAATCAATCTTATCTTTGTACTATTTAAATATGGAATATTTAGTTAAAAATAGGTATGTGAAGAATGGCATCTGTTAAAAAAATTATTTTAAGTGATATAGAGTTATTATACTAAGAGTACGAACTAGTAAGATATGTAAAAGACTAACGAACTAAACACCTCTTCCGATCTATGACTAATTTACTACAAAATAAAAATAAAAAATGAAAAAAAAGGACATGTTTACGAGTAAAATGTATTGACGTCAGTAGACAAATTGATGTTTTTATGAAACAAAACAAGTCCGTGAAAGTTACCACTTTCAAACTTATTTTTAGATGAAGAATTTTTTTCACACCCTCAAATGTATACTCTACTTGCGTATGAAAGACGGATTTTTCATTATTTGTCAACTACGTCAATACATTGCCTACACAAAAGACGTATGGAAAAAAAAAGAAATCACACAATATCAGTTTCAATTTGTGTCCACATAAAAATCCTATTACGTGTAAAAGAAAGCGAAATATTTTGCCATTATGAATGTATCTTTCTATAAATAACAATATGTTATGTTACAAAATCGAAATATTTTTACATTTCAATATATAACGAAAGTGTTGTTTGTGACGGTAGAAATATTTCTATTTCTATAAGAGCGTATATAATGAGGTTTTTTTTAAATGTATCTCTTCCGATCGATGATATATCTAGCAAAACTAGGCAGTAGTCCAGTAGAAATATCTATAAATCTAATTAGGTTTTATATTTCGACTAAACATCAACACAAAAGTTCTAAAATCATTTACAACGCTGCCATTCTATTCTATTTATACTAAGATATTACCGCACTCATTAAAATGTTCAAAAAAAGATTTGATGAGATTAATTTTTTCTTTGTATAATGGTTAGAAAGAATGGTAGTCATGTAATAAGAATTACTTTTTTGTTCTGCTAATACTATTGTATTTTAATACATACGTAGGTAAATTCGTTTTTGAATGAATGTGCTAGACAAGAACTTCATAACATCAAGGTTGAATGAAAAAAAGCATTGGAATACAATGTTTATATGTAAATCATCGTTTTAATACGAGAAAAATATGCTTTTCTTTCTTGTTTTTTACATCAATCACATACAACAACAATAGCATGACAAATGTAATCATCATTCAATATCTACTATTCTTTCCAATCTTAATAAAAATGAAAATTAATATTTGAAGATTTTCATGAGAGTGACATTTATTCTAATCAAGCAGATCACAAAACTTCAGACAAACGACTATATAATCAAATCTTCTCAAAATACGTAAATCTAATTTTTGTTTAGTTTTTATTTCTCGAGTATAAATATCAACGATACATATAATTGTAGAGAAAAATTCTCGTTAAAGCATATTCATATATGTGATTAATATAAAGCAGAAGAGACAAAAAAAGAGGATTCAATTTACAAAAAAAGCAAAATACAACATCAAAATCATATCTCTTTTTATATTCTGATCGATGATATTCCGTACAAATTGATTTTTTTTTAACGATTCTTATTCTTCTTTTCTTTATTTGTTGACTAAAATAGAAATCAAACGATGAGAATAATATAAATAAAGATCAAAAAAAAATCTACATACATTTTTAATTAAAATAATAAGAATTCGAACAAATATATCAACAAGATCAGTAAATAAAAGAAGTGCATGTCTAAAATATATTTGATTTAAATTTTTTTTTAACTTTTACAAATAAACTTACTTGACATAATGCATATCTCCATTATTAGCTCGTTCAATAATTAATTGAGTATCATATAAGACATATCCACAAGCAATTGCCAAACCAAAATAAAGATTAATCTAAATTATACAAAAAATATCAGAATTGAATATTCGACCTATGCTGTGATATATACAAGTAACGCTCGTCCGAGGACTCGCTTAGCTCTTTCTCGTAGAAATGCATTTTCTTCACATTTCCTGGAAAATCAATTGAAACCCATGAAAAATAGTTTTTCGATGCTTTTTTGACCTTTGCCCCCTCATCATGGTCACCCAACAGACTTCAGATTCGAACTCCCCGCATCGAAATACCTCTAGAAATGTCTTTTCCAGAAAATTGGTTTTCGCTGTTTTTTTGACCCTGCAGACAGACAAACAAACAATTTATTCATGCTGGACTCTTCTCTACGAGAAAGAGAATATTAGTTAACAGAGTAGTAAGAATATAGTTTTCATGTTAGATATGCTTTGTCACGGATCGTAACAAACGTTATAACAAGGATCCACCATTGGCCGTGACAGACATAGTCTGAAAAATATAATTCAATGAATATGCTTTTTAAATAACAAAAATCTATTTGCAGGAAGACGGTTGACACACATTTTTTTAAAGTTATTCATTCGAAACTAGAGACAATTCTTATCTACGACGTCAGTATTATAAACTTACATTAAAAATAAGTTGTGAACGTCCAAATAAATTCATTAAACTCAATAAAAGCATAATAGATGAACCTGTTGCAAGTAAGCCTAAATATTTTCAAACATTTATATACGAAAATATATATATTCATAATAATTTTTACCTCCAAGATATAAATAAGTTCGTTTTTTAGTCAATAATGCACTTAATGTGAAACATACAAATATAATTGTTGTCATTAAAAATGCTGTCATAACGATTTGTGGATCCACATTAATTGCTACATTAATTAATGGACTTAAATAAATACCAGTAAATAGAGCTGTTGCTGACATCAATCCAAAACATTGCATTTGTGTACGTGCATTAAAATCAAGTGTAAAAAGCCAAACACTTGTTATTATTGAAGCAAATACAGCTAAACGTGGATAATTGAGCCAACCATTCATAGATAAACAAATACCCAATGTAGCACATAAAGTGGCACCTAATAAACAAGTATAAACATTTTTCAAATGATTTTGAACTCTTGGTTGTCTAAAGAGAATATAGAATCAAAAAAATAAAGAAAAACTAAATAAATCAAATATTTACAGAGTTGAAAAATCAAGAATTGTTTTTAAATTGAATTTATTTGATTTATTATTAGATTGAAATTGATTAGTATTGCCAAAGAAAGGAAATGAACTTGTTTGCGACATTATTTGCTAAATATATCGATTAAAAAATCTAAAAAAAGAAAAATACGCGTATACTTATAAAGATAAAATCCAAGCATGTCATCACTTCCTTTTATAGATTAGAATATACTTGAAAACAAAATATCAAGAATGATGCAACTATTCTTGGTTTTTCCCGCTTTACAAACTAAAGACTTGTCTTATTTGAGAGAAGTATCGATTTTCAAAATAGAATTTAAATGTGAGATATTCTTTGCTTTTATATTATTTTCAATTTATCTGATGCAACCTCTTTATTAAACAAATAATAATTCTAGAAGGTTCATGTAGTAGTTACATATATGTTTTCATGACATTATTACACTCGTAAATACGTAGAGTAGACGAATCATGATAAATAAAGAAGAAGACGTCAGAATGACGTATTATATCTTACAATATGATTGTACGAACAATGCAAAATAAAATTTATCCTACCCTATCTCTTTTCGCATAGCGTCAAGAATAGAATAGAGAAAAAAAGTCAAAATACAATAAAAGTGCAATCAATATTATTTGTTTGCACGTCAAATGACGAATCTGAATGCAAGAAAAACAAGTTAAAACTTGTTTTATATTTTCATATATACATGAATAAAGAATTATTTCCTACACAATAAATAGGAAATAATACTTTCTAAAAAAAGAAAAAATAAACATAATAAAATTACTGATCATCAGCGACATCTATAGATGTATACGTAATCATCAGAGGAAATATCAAAGTATATAATAAGAAACAACTTTAGGTTTCAATATTTCTTATAAAAGAGATCTTCTTTTGATTAAGAAGACAAAAACAAATGTATAAAAACGATGTATTAAATGTAAATAAAAAAAACTTGACTGTTATTACAACCGGCTTCTTGTATATGGATGTGATAGTAATTGATATGCAGTGGGTCTTTGATTTGAATTATTTATAAGACATCGTCTCAGACAATCTAATAAAGGTCGATCTCTCACTGGTGGAAATGATATTGGTGCCATTGATGAAATAGCAGCTATTTTTTGATCTCGATCCATAATAGCAAAGAAGGGCGGACGACCGTAAGTCATTTCATAAAGTATAATACCGGCTGACCATACATCCGATTTAAAACCAGTTTGATGAGAAAATACTTCAGGCGCCATATAATCTACAACGAAAGAGTTTTGTTTTCATATTTATAACAAATGAATACATACCAAGAGTGCCACGCACTGCTGCCCGTCGAATCGTATTTCTTGCTGAACCCAACGGAAGGGCTAAGCCTAAATCGGTTACTTTAAGTATACCATTCACTAGAATTAAATTATCCGGTTTGATATCAGCATGAACTGCGAATAAGAAAGAAATAGATAATTATTTATAAAATATCAACATATTGTTGGTATATTTATTTACCAACACGTGCATTTTGAAGATCTCGTAAGATAGTAACAATCTGTTTCCAATACATTCTTCGTAATTGATCAGGTAATGGTACTCCCACTAGCTGTTCTCTTAAACTACCATCTCCTAATTCCATAATCATATAACCAACATTTTCTTGAGGTTTATATTCAAAATCAATTAAAGAAATAAAATGGCGTGAACGTCCAGACATATATCTTAACATACGTCCTTCTTTATTAAAATTTCCAATACGTCTCTTTAAATCGTGTGGAGGATAACGTGAAAAATAGAAAACTTTAACAGCATATTGCATAGCACTTTGATCTTCACATTTATATACGGTGGCTTCACTACCTTGACCAATAGTATCTAAAATACGATAAAGACGACCATGAACTTCAAATACTGGTCCTAGAAAAAAACAAAATTTATGAATTAGTTAAATAATGAAATAAAACAATCTACCATCATTATTATTTCTCGATGTTCCAAGACCCATACTGAATAATGTTATTTATAATAATTTGTCCAAATTATTCTAAAGACGTTTATTATTATCTGCCTTGACGTTATCGTTAGAGACAGATTTAAGCTAGAACAATAAAAAAAGATCACCTGATTGATGAAAAATATTATCTCATTTGGATATATATATATATATGTATTGTGGTTTTTTTCGTTTCTTTTTTTTCATTTTCAATGTATTCGGTTACACTTTAATGCACACACATGTGCAAGAACTAAACTAAGACTCTCTCTCTCTCCAGGTGAAGAAAAAACCATCATTATATTGTTATTTATCATACTTTGACTGTAGAAATAAGAACTAATTTCTCATGCATTCAACTTGGATCATCATTGACGAGCAGAAAAAAAGCGAGGCTAAAAGTCACGCTTCGCAAAACAGAAACGAAAGAGAAAAAAACAAAGTCATGAAAAATATCAAATGTAATGACTATAATTGTTTATTAATTTCGTATAGTAGTTCAACAGTCAACAAAAAAAGTGCCAATATATAAATACATATATATATTTTCCTAATGATATAAACTTGAGTTTGATTGAAACTAACTATTTTATATCTAATTTTCTCAATCAAAAACAACTTATCAATAATCTAAAAAAAATATATAATTGATAGAGACAGATATGGTTACATAAACATACAAGTCTTATATAAACAAACTTTTTGAAGACACACCGATGATTTATTTCTGATAAACATTTAATTAATAAGCAAGACTATTCGTGCTGAACGTGTATATATATATATATATATATATATGATATATGTATATGTATAAAAGGACATTGATAATTGGCGATAATTAAAACTTCTAAGATTCATAAACATGCTTATGGAAGGTTAAATTATTGAGCAAGAAACTGCATTATGAACGAAGGACAGAACAGGATAGTTTGAGTCCATTACTCAAATTACAGTTCAAGGGATGATATCAATTACACAAAAGTTACGTTTATAGATATAATAAAAGCATTATATTATTATATGAAGGTAAATCATATAAAAAAGCGAATGAATATATGTTGTGTACAAGAAAAGAGAAAAGTAATTTTTGCTCAATGCCTTCGATAGATAAGGTAATGTGACAGCTGAAATGAATCGAGAAAACATGAAAATGATAATCATCATCCTTCAAAGTAACAGTTACACCACGTCGGATATGATTTTAATAACATGATCGATTCTTCTTTTTTTTATAAATAAAAATGTATGTAAACTATGATATAACCTATATACTTGAGAAATAGATATACTCTATCTCGAAATTTTATTTTAGACTTTCTGATGTCATTTATCAGTGCATCAAAAAAATGTCAATATTAGATAATAATGACCAACATTATATTAACGTAAAAAATATGATTGCAGCTATATAAATAATAATCATCAATAGGTAATATAAAAACGAAAATATTTTGTTTCACTTAATTCGATTTTATAATTAAACTATACAGCAAAAACATAAGAGAAAGATTAATAAATGAATAAAAAAGTTAAAAAAATAGTCAAATTATAATATTAAATTATATATATTAAGTTTAAACAAGCCAATTGTTTATCATAGATGGCATACCCAATCAGTATCTATATAATGACAATATCTGTTTGATCATTGAACTGTATATTTATGTCTCTGTCTTCATAATAGCCAATCGAATGTGATTCTTTGTTTTATGTATAACGGTGATCAATCGATATCACCTGCTAGAGAGTCTATTGTTTCCTGGTACACATGTAAGTAGATGTTCATTTCGTAGTACTAAATATTTTTATTTGTCCTTCATTCATTGAATATAAGATTTTTATTCGTCTGTATTTATACAAAGATCTCTTCATTGTTATACTGAGTGTAAATAGATGTATTAATTACTGTTTGAAAATATAAAGATTTCGTGATATATATTCACATATGTAAAGAATAAAACGAGGGGAACAAGCTTTATTCAAGTATCATTATTTGACAAAGCGTATGTCTATACTAGTGCTGGTAGATATTACAAGAATGTTTTATTTATTATGCAACCCCTTTTTTTTCTTTCTTTTATTCTACTCATGAACAATACTTATATTTCTTGTCTTCTTTCTTTTTGGGGTCAGTTGGTCATTCATAAAATTTGTAAAGTGTGTATGTGATCTGTTTCTTCTTCTTCGGTTCAACTTTATTATATATTACTTTTCTCTTCTCATTCTTTACTACTACTACTCCTCTGATCAAGCATCTACCCAAATCTTTAATCAAATAAAGTAGTAACATTGTATTTAAGCATACACATATTCTTCAGACTATTTAATATGGAAGAACATTATCATACATCTATCGTCAACAGCAAGCATCCTTATACTGTACGTAAGACGAAATAGAATTTCTCATTAATTAATATAGTATGCGTGACAAAAGAAGGCGTAGACAAAACATAATCTCAAAGTTGGTATATATATATTCAGTGATTTTAATAAGTTGAACCTCTCATTAGACAGAATTTAGATCATGAAAAATAAGAAGAAAATTTTGTATTAAAATATTATAGATGTTCATAGACGATAGTTCCTAACAAGATAACATATGTTCTTCTTTATTTCGTGACAAACTCATTATCTACATTGATAGAGCGATTCAATTCATTTAATATATGTATACGTCTCTTCTCCTTATTTTTGGTTCATTGATCATTTTTTTCTTCTTCTTCGTTTAATTGTGATATGAGCCTTGAATTATTCTTTCTCTCTCCCTCTCGCGGTTTTCTTTTTCTTCATTTATTTATAAATATAAGTTTCATTTTGAACGATCGGCATGAATTATACATTAATAAATATCAACATGTGTATGATATTAATTGAACTTTAGTTTTTGTAGTTTGTTCTTCACTTCTTCTTCTTCTTTTTTTGTACTAGGATACCTCTCTACATGTTGTTAATTGCCTCAAGCAACGAGTAGTGGTAGATAGCGAGACAGCGTGAAAAATAACGACGTTTCGAGACAATGAACAGAAGAATAAAGAGAAAGATGCGTTTGGTTAATATCATCGGTTTGATATAGACAGCGTAAAAAAAAAGAAGAAGAAGAGAAAAGCTAAGCAGTTGTTGGGTATCTATCGACAATTATGAGTAGCCATCGAAAAGCAATGATTGCAACAAAAACAGAATACGAATTACTCTTAAATAAAGGTGCAAATATGGGAGAAAGACATTACTGTTCATCAGATATTATGATAAATGAGGTAATCTTAGAACTTATTTAAATTTGATACTAATTGAATTGAACATTTCGAAATTATAGTTCTATTTTATTGTGTACTGATGAATAGTTCTAAAAAAAGAAAATTGTTTCTATTGTTCATGTAACATAAAAATTACTCAATTAAATAGACTCATTTATATAATCGATCTTATCTTTTTTTTCTTCTTAGATTATGGATCCTGATACATACGGTGGTTCAGTTAATACTGTACCTATTTTATCATCATCATCACATACAATTAATACTGAAACACGTTCATCATCTCGTCGTCATCATCATCATAAAAAACGTTCGAATGATGGAGCAATATCAGCACCTATAACATCAACAGATAGTCAAGATGAACGTATTGAAGTTAAAATACTTCCACAAGATGATAATTGGGGTGAAACAACAACTATAACATGTAATGGTGGTAATGAAGATACTTTAACAAATAATAATGATACAAGTTTACAACTTCATGATAATCATAATGATCATTTGCAACCGTTATCACATAATCTAAATCGACGTAAATTATCTCTCTCAATAACTCAATTTACTATTTATTTACTTTGTTTAATTGCATTCATTTCACCTATATTCTTTCTTACTTTACCATATGCATTAGTATCATCAGATTTAATATATATTGATGATTATTCACCAATACTAACAATTATTTTTAAACTTATTTTTTTACTATTTGGTACATTTCTATTACTTTATCGACGTCGAAATATAACATATTTACCACGTATACATTTACAAAAGACATGTCTACTTCTTATTCTATTGTTTATTATTGTTGTCTATTGGTTTTATTATGTATTTAAAATCTTACAACCAAAAATCGATAAATATGAACGAATTTTATCTATGACATCGACATATGAAGATTTACTATTGTTCATATTGATTTTATCAGTTCTTATCTTAGAAATCAAATGGTTATATCCAAAATGGATTGTTAAAGTTGTACGATCACCTGATGGTCAAACAAGACAATATACAATAGGTAAAAATACAATACTTCTTTTTTTCTATAGAAAATTTATCATTTTATATTGAAGGATCAATGTCAATTCAAGAAGCAAGTGTTTATCTATTAGAACAATATTATAAAGATTTTCCTGTATTTAATCCATGGTTGGAAAATGCTCAACAACAAACACAAGGAAAACGTCATGGAGCATTCTCTGCTAAATCTACTGGATCACAATCAAATGCATCGACTATTGGTGGTGGTGGCGGTGATCTTGCACGATCAATGCGTGGATTTAATGACAGGTAATTGAATAACGAATATTAGTAAATAGAAATAGATTGTCTAAATGGTACTGTTACACTCAGTTTGTCTTCTATAGACTTTACTTTTAAAACGTAATTCAAAGTTTAGTTCAGTATCTCAAGTGTTATTACTCTTAACAAATCTTAATGATAAAGATTTAAACTATAGATTAGAAAAAAATCAAATGATTTATTGAGTGCTTCGTAAATCTTGAGATACGATTAGAATATCTGATATATAGAAAGAAAATTATTTCTAGAAGTTGTATAGTAATAAATATGAAATTATTACGACTATTTTTTTTTCGAAATCAAGTAACATGATTATTGAATAAAATATTGCTCATATACAAACCAACAGGTAAATTGTCGAAGCACTTATCATGATCCATTGAGTATATGTGTAGTGTAATATATCCTGAATAATCTGTTTGAAATAAACAGCATATCAAGTATATAGCAAATAGTAAGGAAATAAAATTTTTAAATAAGTATATTTTATCCTAATACCGTTGTTAAATTAGTTGACACATGGCTCATTGAAAATTTCTTTAAGCATAAAAAAACTACTGAAAGAAAGATTTTTCAATGTTAAAAATCGATTGAGTGGAATAGAAGAAAAGTATTATTAATCTTTTATTAATAAATAAAATGTATAATATATTCATGATCGAAAAAATTTGCGTGTATTTTAGAGAATACAATTATAAAATTAGTAAAAATTCAATCTTATATCAGATGAGCATTTTAAGGCTACAGTATCGATATACGGATTGAATATTAGTTTTCGAAAGTATCCCTTACTGAATTTATACGAATAGATTTATGATAGGAGTTTTGCTTCTTTTATTTTTGTAAAAATACTTATACCGTAGTACTACTTTAAAACAATTCTAGAACAAAGCCATTATCTATTGTTTTTAGTTATAGTATGAAAAGATCTATTGCAATCTTTGTAGAGTATTATAACATAAAATTTGAACTCAATAATATGTTGATCTATTTATTTCTATAGCAGATAGATGCTAGTATGAAAATAACAGCCTCCCTCCTAGATTCAATTATCTATTTCTTAAATGATAATATTATCTTGTATCATATAGAAAATATTTAATTTCTATGAAATAATCATATTCGAACGATACCTACACTCTAATATTAATAGGAAAATTAAATTTTGTGAATAAAATATAAAAGCTTATTATTTTTATAGATTCTATGATGAACTTGATTACGAACGTCGTGTACGTAAACGGCGTACAAAATTATTAAGTTCATGTGAAGATGCATTTACACATGTTCGAAAATGTCTTAATGAAAAATATGGTACACATATACCCATGGATGCACGTGAAGCAGCACAAGTAAATATCTTCATTATTGTTATTTTCATAAGAAATAAACAAAAAAAATTTCTAAATTTCTAGGCTGTATTTTCTTCGATGTCACGTGCACTTCAAAAATATCTTCGAGTAACTCGTCAACAACCTTATTTTACACGAGAATCAATTATAACTCATTTAGCAACATGTTTATCACATGATCTTTCACCACGAACATTTCTTGAACGTTATGTTCAAACAGAATGTCAACCATTAGCTACATTACTTTTTCCTGCATTAGCATCCCTAACAAATAATAATCGTGAACAATCATGGACACTTATATGTGATCCACAAAATTCAGCAAATGATGAAGAAAGAAGAGAAAGAATATCTATAAATCAATCAATCTATTCAAATTTAACATTTGTTCTTAAACAACAACATGCCGAACATATTGCTTTAATGTGTACATTTCATCAAATGCCAAAAGTGAATTTGATTGAAAAATTCTTTGATTCAAAACATAATAAATTTGTTTTGAAATTAAATTCAGAAACATCTGTTTAATTACAATATGAATTCAAACGATAAACGAAAACAAAGTCAGATATTTTTTTTACGAATTTTGTTTTGATGATGATGATTAGATCTCTCAAAAACAATAATCAAAATAATCAATGTTCATTGCATCATTACTTTCTCTTCATTTGTGTTTGTTTGGTACATTTTCCTTTTCTTTTTGGTTTTCTTTCTATATATGTTCTGTGTTAAATAGTGAAAAAGAAGAAATTATATATGTATAATAAAATAAATCAATAGGAGATTTAAATTTTTGTATAAATTATTCGAGAAAAGAATGAAAACTTTGTCGCAATTGATAAAATGACAATGATATTTAACAGATCATATCTAGCGGGTGGGCGGCACCTACCCAAAATACGAAACTAAGACAAAGCACTGTTGGGCGGCACCCACCCAGAATTTTTATTTAATCTAAATAATTGAATAAATACAGATTATTTCCTATCGTATTCATCCGAATAAAATTGTAAAGCCACTCCATTGATACAATAACGTAGATAAGTAGGTTGAGGACCATCGTCAAATACATGACCCAAATGTGCTTTACACTAAAAAATAATTTATAAAATTTTTGAAATTTCAAGTTTTATCAATACGAACATTTGCACAATGAACTTCGGTTCGAGTCAATCCGTATTTTCGATCAACATCTGCTGCAACATTTTTTTCAATAGCTGGTTGATAAAAAGATGGCCAACCTGTGCCGCTATTATATTTATGTTTTGAACTAATGTATATATTTTAACATTTATATATGTATGAAAAATTTAGAAATGAAACTACCTGAATAAAGTTGAATTGCATACAACACATGTATAAATACCGGATTTTTTATTTGTATAAAAATCACTTGTAAATGCCTTGAAGAATAATATTAAGATATTTTTCAATTAATTATAATCAATTTTTACCTCTTCAGTACCTGCCAATTGAGTGACTTTGTAAGCTAATAAACTAAGTTTATCAATATTACTAAACCATGACGCTAGAGTTTTTTTTTGAAATTTTAATAAATAGGAACATATTGAATAGAATATATCAACTTACGTGTTTCAACGACGTTGATAATTAAATGTTTTGCTTGTTTTTCTTTTCGTTCAGTAACTGGTACGGGAAGATCACCAACATATATTAATTTATTCTGACTATTTCGAATTCTAGCGGTAAGTATATATGTATTATGTGGATTCATTTTTGATAATGGATATTTTAATTTAAATAGTAAACTAAATGGATCTTTTGTTCTGTTACTATCAAGTTTTATTTTAGTTCTAGCAATTGATCGTGGACGATCATCACGTGTTAGACGAAGTTCAATAATGATATGAGAATTTCTATCGATATTTAATAATGTACCATTACTACGTACTTCACCATTTATAATAGCATGAGTTAATCTTTTAGAATGATTGAATAAATTTTCAGATTCTCGTGAAGTTGATACATGAAAAAAGTAAATAATAAAAATATATAAGATTATTTGATGATGTTTCATGATGAGGAAGATTTTCGAAATGATTGAAAATGATTTTTATATAAGAGAAATATTCTTATCATATGTATGGTAATATGATCATTTTACTTGTAATTTCACTTCATCAATGTTATCAATTTTATAAAGAAAATGGAGAAGATGATTTAAGGTTAAAGTGTATTGTAATTAGAATGAAATTCAAATTTTAAAGCGATAAAGTACAACATTAATAGGAACATCAGTGTAATCAAGATGAAGAATAAAGTTTGATGATTTCAATCGAAATTGGAATTTGAAACTTTTCATCATTGAATGGAGTAAAATAATATATCTACCATTTAACCTGTAGTTTTGTTGAGATCGTTAGAAACACCATTTTTCATATTTAGTTACTGGAGTCATGATTATGAGCAATAGTTAGATGTGCAAAGTTTCGGTAAGAATTCAGAGAGTCTTAATTATAATGAGAATAAACTTTTGAATTAGACTGTGATTAAATATACTTATTCACCTCGCAACCACAACGCCCATATCTTGTAGAGTAATTTCGTATGATTAAAAAAAAAGTGTACTTATTGATCATTTTAAAAAGATGTCCAAAAAATTCTGACTCAAGAATAATTTAACTAACCTAGCTGTCAGTTTCGAAGATTTCCAATACACCAAAAGGAGAATTTAAAAAAAAGGAAACTTTCGATCAACTATTTGAAAGGATGGAGTTTTGAATAATTAATAAGATAAAACTAGAAATAGCACTCTTTTCTATATTCTTTTATGCCATTCGAACGTTGGAATTAAACTCAACATAGAGCTACCATAGACAAGATGTTTTACTGTGTAGTCATACAATAAAACATTCAATACTGAGTGTTTAATGAAATTTAAAATGCTATCGTCAAAACTTTTGATATAATCCAAGTAAATATGATTCAAACAATAATTTTAATTAGAACAAGAAAGAAATCTATTAGAATCAATCCTAATAGTGTTCAGTTAAGAAACAATGATAATACCATTCAAACGTATGTATGTACTTTACATATGCGAAAAAAATGAATGAGAACACGGAAATTATTTATTTTAAAATAAAAGATCAATAACGTACAATTGAACATGTATAGGAATTAAATATACATATATATTGTTACATGATTTAAAATGAAATTATGAGAGAAAGAAAAAATATTAATTTAGTGACATTTTCCAGGACCATGTGGTACAGCATCAGCAGCACCACTGATTGTATCATCAATTGTAATATTGGTAAAACGTGCTAAATATTTTTTCAGATAGCCTTCTGGCTGAAAGTTTCTATCTGGAGGACATTGTCGTAAACTATGCCAACGTTTCATATAATGTGACATAAGTTCAATTGGACCTAGAGCAAAGCCATCGTCGATTCCTGGAAAATGACGATGAGGTGGAACAAGCATTGTTGTATTGAGATTAAGTATACCTTGACGTTCGAAAGTTGCTGGCATTTTAACTCGTGTATCAACACGAGCACGAATCAATAATTGATATCGAATATTAAATTGTTTTTCATAGTTTTTAACAAGATCATAACATTCATTAAGTGACCATAATTGTTGAAAATAAGCAGGTACAGGAATGACAGCATAGCCAGGAAGTTGAAATTGAGGATTGCAAGTAGAAGGAATTTCTGGATCAATAATTCGATCTTCGTAAAGTACTGTTACAGTTGAATTCATATATGAACGGACATCTTTAATACGAGTATTTAATGGAACGGGTCCTTGTTTGAGTGATGAAGAAAGGAAAAGGAAGATATCTAGATCTCCATGAATACGCTGTCGAATATTAGTATGAGTTGGAGCCCATGCTTCTTGTATACATTCAGCTAAACCAGTTA